ATTTTTATTTTTGTTAAATAATGCTCCTGCTATGCCGTCTTGACTCGCATCTGTTTGTACAACTATGGGTAAGTTAGGATCAAAGTGAGCTAATATTTGATCAGACGCAATAATACTTTTGATTTCTTTGAATGATTTTTCACAATTAGACGTCCATTTATATTTTTGATTTTGCTTCAATAGGTCATATATAGGTCGCATTAATATTGCTAATTTAGGTACAAATTTGCTATAATAGTTAACCATACCTGCAAAACTTTTTACTTGGGTAATCGTTGAAGGTCTGGGTGCTTCAATGATCGCTCGTTGTTTTTCCAGGTTTTTCTTTATACCATACTTTGAAATTGTGAAACCTAAATAGCTGACTTCTTCCTGAAAGAATGCACATTTAGTTTTGTTTAGCTTAAACCCTGCATCGTTCAGTTTTTTAAGAACTGCTTTTAGATTTTCTACGTGCTCTTTCCTAGTTGCTCCGGTTACAATGATATCGTCTAAGAAATTTGCCGTATTCTTAATGCCTTGCAGTAGTTGTTCTAGTACCTTTTGGAAAATTGAGCTGGCTGGCGTGATGCCGTAAGGTAACCTGTTCACCTTAAATAACCCCTTGTGTGTGGTCCAAGTTAAAATCATGGCTGATTCGTCATCTACGCTGATTTGGTTATACGCATAACTTAAATCTAACTTCGTAAACGATTCGCCCCCGCTTAATTCCATTAATATACTTTCTACGGAAGGTAATGGATATTGCACTTGTTTGAAATATCTATTAACGGTCAATCTGTAGTCTCCACAGAGCTTGAGTGAACCATCATTTTTGATTATCGGTACTAATGGAGTTCCCCACTCTGAAGTTTCTACTGGAGTGATAACTTGCTCCCTTTGAAGAGTATTTAGTTCATCCTCCACCCTCTTTTTAATTGCTAAAGGTAATTGTCTAGCTTTTAAAAAGACTGGTTGCATATTCTCTTTTAGTTGCAAGTGAACTTTTTTATAATTGTAACATCCTAACGAATTATTAAACACACGTTTAAATTCTGCACAAATATTTTCTGTCTCATTACTTATTGATAACACCTCAGCTGTTATTCTAAATTTAAATTTTTCCAAGAAATCTCTACCTAACAAGTTTTCTGAAGGCTGATTGCTTTTAATTATTTGAAAACTAAAATTTTTGCAAATAGTATTGTTATACTGCACATCACCTACTATATAACCTGCTGGTTTAATTTTACATCCTGAAAAACTTCTTAAAATGATGTTTGAATCATGCAAATCTAAATTGGATAGGTATTTTTTATACGTATCATAGTTTAAAACCGATACAGCTGCCCCTGAGTCCATTTGACATGATATTTTATGTTCATTAACAGAAATATGTATGTAAATTGGTTTGTCATTGTTAAAGTAAATATTATTTATTTCAACAGTCTCTGTATCAAAGTCCAACATGTTTTGTTTAATGTCTTTAAACTTACATACCTTTGATAAGTGTCCAATTTTATTACAGCTGTTGCACTTGTAGCTCGCATACCTGCATTGTTGCTGTCCGGTGTGAAGTCTTCCACAAGCTGTGCACTTCCATTTTCCCATTTTCTTCTCCACAGAGTTGCCTGATGGGGTCTGACGCTGCTGGAATACCTTCTGCCTCAGTTGAAACGGATTCGACTTCACTAAATTTACTGATTTATCTACTGCTAACAATGTTGCTTCTTTACTAAGGGCAATCTCCATTAGCTTCTCCAAAGTTACTTCGCCTGGCTTCTCCTCACACAACCTGTCCCTTATTTTCCCTTTTTGAAGACCGCAAACGAACTTATCCCGGAGGACTGATTTCAAATTGGTGCCAAATTCACAATTTGTTGCAAGATTATGAATCCTGGCGTACCATTTGTTCAGCGATTCGTTCGCCTCCTGCGCAGCAGCATAAAAATCGATGCGCTCCCTAAAGAGGCAAGTCGCCGGTGAAAAGTGAGCCTTTAATAGCTTACATAATTCTTCGTATGATTTCGACTTTGGTAAACTGGGGGTGCATAGATCCCTTAAGACTTTGTATGTATCTGAGCCAATTAGACTCAATAACGCCGCAACCTGTTTCTTGTCCGTCTGGGTGTCCCTTATGTTATTTACTTCAAAAAATTGCTCTAATTGTTCTTGATAAACAATCCACTCGTCTGACTTGACATCGAACTTATGCATGGACCCAATTAAAACCATTATTGTTGTCTTCTGATATAGCGATTCTCGTTACTTTTACAAACTGCCCTCGATGCGGTGCACGTGCAAGTTTCCAACCTCAAAAAATAGCACCCTTTTTTTTTCTCAATATGTATCCTCGTCGCCAATTGATATGTCCTTTAATTACCGTTGTCACAAACACACACAAGTAACAAATAATATTTATTATAATTAAAGTACACACTTAAAACGTTGCTGAATTGTCGAAGCCAAGATGGTTGGTTGAAATCGGCTGTGTCTCCCGTACGTACATTCTCTTAATACACTACACTTATATTCATAATGCACCCAGCTGAGCAAGATTTTATAAATACTGTTTTACTTAGATTGAAGTTATTCAGGTTTGACATTTCCTTATTACTGCCAAGCCAATGATTACTTATAGAACTAACTAGCTCAGGTGTAGTGTTGCCTTTTCATTTACAGTTGAATGATTCTATTGTGCAGTTGCCAATTAGTAGCTACCTAACTATCGATAATACTAAGGCCTTCAAAACGATGCGTCTTTAACAAGTTTTCCCCGAAGGAAGCATCGACTACCCAGATTCTAAATCATATTCCGTGCCATAGGCAATCTAATTGGCACCATCCATTAATTCTTCGATACTTATTTGTAGTGTTCTAAAATACAAAATAGTAGCAACAGGTTTAGATATAACGGCGATCGTTGAAATAGGGTTTTATTTATTTTTGGCAATTTTTTATATTGCCTGGTCATGCTTCTGGTTGTTACGAGCTGATTTATTCTTTGTGATCCATGACAGTTGCTAATATTAAAAAATTGCCGAAGAACCTTAAACAGATACAAATACTTTAATGGCATAATTTTCTGGTGTATAAAAAGTGGAAGAGATGGTGTCATTCTACTTTTTTGACATATTGATCGTATCGCCATTTTTTGTAGTTTTTCTATAGGAGAAAGGAAGAAAATTACCAAGTGTCCATAGTAGTGGATGTCATGGTATAATCACGTTGGCAAATTTGACGTTTGCTGTACCAAATAGTAGTAGATACTTATAGTACAGTCAAATTAGACAAAAAAATGGGCATTCCGTGCATCAGATATGTCACCTCTAATTTTTCTTTTAAATTGTTAGGATCAATATGGATGTGAAAAATTCAAGTTTTCGACATTGAAAGACTTGTGCGAGCGACACAGCACTTGAAAATATGTCATTTTTCTTACCATTTTTTGGTTTTTGTAAGTTTTTCTCCTGAAGAACCGATTTTAATGCAATTATTGTCGTATACTTTTTTGAACTAGACAAAATTTCGGACAATTTAAGCTCTTAATGATCTCCGCAAGTCTAATAGTTTCCGAGATAAGGCGCTTCAACTATTGGTAAATTTATTAGTTTTACAAGTTTTATCAAAATTTGCGTTTGCAGAAAGGAAACTTACAAAATTTGCACGATGAATTGTCGTAAGTCGTGAGTCGTAATAAACTTGTTGTTGAAGAAGTGCTAAAAATTGCAAATAATGAAAGTAAATTAAATATTGATTTTTGTCTTTTAGTGGAAAAATATCCATGTTTATACGATGCCTTATTCAAACCATAGTGTTGTGATTAAGCTTTCTGCTACTGTCACAGATCTTCTATGAGTATAATCGGTGTCCCTTGTCGAGCAAGGTCAGGCAAAAGGAAAAAATTCACAGATTTCGCAATCCATGCAACAGGTAGTGGATCTTACTGAAGAAGAAGAAGATGACAACTTTCTTATCATGGGAGATGCTGGGGATCCAAAGGATGGATATCAACATTCTAGCTCTTTCTGTTCGGATTTATGGAGATTCCTCACCACAAAGTTCCCCCAAACGAACAAATTATAAAAATGTTCATGAGGTTTTTATGCGAAAAAAAGGCACATTTGATTAAAACTGAAGAATTTACGAATTTTTGAAACGCTGTATCTCCAAAACTATTAGACTTACAGAGCCGATTAAGGGCTTGAAATGTCACAAATTTTGTCTAGTTTAAAAAAGTATAGGACAGTAATTGCTTTAAAATCTGTCCTTCAGACCTAAAACTACCCAAAACCTAAAGATAATAGAAAAAATGGCGTATTTTCGAGTGCTGCATTGCTCGCACAGGTCTTTGGATGTCGAAAACTCGGATTTTTACATCCATACTAAGCCTAACGATTTAATAAAAAAAAATAGAAATGACACATCTGATGCAAGGTATTATGATAATTTGACTGGACTATTAGACCATTATTATAGTACATGGACCTCGACATTGACAAAATATGGTCAAGGACATCGCCTGGGTGTTTTAGTTTCAGGGTAAACGAGTCTGTCCGAAGCAAGGATACTATATAATATAAGGATTGCTCTATCACTGAATTTTTTCGCCGCGTGTAGTGACGTCACTCGCGGACCCAGTACCAGCGCATGCTTTGATTAAGGCCGATTCCCATTATAGCAGCATCGAGCAGCGCGGCGCGGTGAAAAGATGCTCTCAATTGTTCGCATGTAAATAAGTAGATCCGTTTTCACCTAGGCAGAGCGGTGCAGAGCATCAAATTTTAAACGCGTCGGGAAGCATTGGAATACGCGGCGCTGCTTTGAAACGCACCACTCTGCGTGTAGACGGACAAGTGGGAATCGAGGAGCGAAGCAGATCGGAGTGGTGCTGCGGCTTGTGAAAAGCATTTATTTGTCTTCTGTGTTGAGCTTGCATGTGTTAGTGGATTCGCTATGGACGGACAAAGAATAGAAAAATTAATTGTACTCGTCCGCTTTCTTTTTCTTCTTTTTTCGTCGTGTACATGGCATAGTGCCGCTATAAATATTATGAAATCATCTGGTGATGATGACGATGATGGCTCTTCTTCGAGCGTGTAAGAATACATTATCTCTTAAACTGAACACAAACAGAAACGCTGCTTCGTCACGCTTCCAAATGGTGCTTAAATGGGAATACCTCTCTACAATTTGCTGCTAGCGACGCGACGCGCTGCTCTGCGCCGCGCCGCTCGGTGCTGCTCTAATGAGAATCGACCTTTAGGATTACCATAAAATACGTTCAAATGGGTCTTGTAGGCAGGCATTTAAATTAGAAACACTAGAAACAGATATGGCAAAAAAAGGCAAACCTATTCTTATTTGCGGACGTATAGAAGATAATCAAGATTGTTTAGCATTTGAGTATTGAATGATTTGAGTTACCCGACGTAACAAACGTTAGATTTATTCTCTCAGTTTATATGCCGCGCTATCACTTACTCTCTTTTATTTTGTGTTTTCTTTGATTGCAGATTATTGGCAGAGAGCGCCCTTCTGAATTGCGACGGCCGTGGCCAGGATTCAAAGGTAATATTTTATTTCGTCGAAATTCTGTGAAATAACGTTTGCGCATAAATGCTTTCGATACAGTCGAATTGCAAGTAATAAATAGTTGTGATAGTCATTTAAACAATTATAACTCCGTTATTCCTGCGGAAGTATGTTTCGATAATTATTTTCTGACTACGAGTTAATTACTTTTTGTAAATTACTTTTGAATTTAAATTTTGATTTTGAGTAAGACTTCTATCTTCTAACGTTTGGCCACCATTTCTTGTAGTTTATATTTTTGAATTAAATTGCCATCGATTTCAGTTATTCTCAACTTCATCAGTTATTGTTTATGTTTCACCCACTCAACTCTTGTACCCTTTAGCCTTATCAAGGACATACCAAAAACCGTGTTCCCTCTCAGTAAGTATTTTCTCTATTTTTAAATTTTTGTAAGACTTAGTGAGGCCTATCCGATATATTTACTTATTTTTACTTTGTTGGCTACGTCAGTGAGTGGTCTTTATCAAATTTTGGTCCGAACATACGACAAACCTTTTAAAGAGAATGTATGGGCATGGGAATCGTATAACACCAATACTGTTTTCTTAAGGTGGGTTCATAGCTCTCCGTTCTTACGTTTCCGTTTGTCCGTTAGCCAATCAGAAGACAGCAAATTTTTAAATCGTACGTCGTCCGTTTACGACGGAAAAGTTGGTTGAAGTTGAACATTTACGTTTCCGTTGTTCCGTTTTTAACAAGAGTGAGGTTATGTTTGGTACGTTAACAGTGTTCGCCTATTCGTTCTTCACGGTAATAATCAGATAGCAATGTGCTCTTACTTTCGTACCATTTTTACATACTGAAAATCACGGAGGGCACAGTACAAAATAAAATTTAGGTTATGGTTATACGTTGCAAATGTACAATGTGGACGGATTGCTATGAACCTTAATAAAATGCATTATCCGTTTGACAGACCGACGCAACGGATGAACGGAGAGCTATGAACCCACCTTTAGAAAAATTTGTTTATATTAAAATACGGAATGGACCCTCAGCGCATTAAATCGGAATATCGGTTCATCCGATCGTTTACAAGTATTTCTAGATATGAGTTACTGAACTACCTACTAAATTTTAAAATTGGAGACTTATTTAAATTATTTAACTGGCCCACATCAGTACCATGAATAATTCTACTGATACATAAAATGTAAATAGCGCAATTTCTGTGTGGGAAAAGTGCGATTTTTGAATATTCTTTATGGTGTTTATATCCTGATATGGGCCTAAAATATCTCATATTTTGTCTGATTATACATATAAGAGCCTATTTCTTTACTCATAGCTGCTGCTGGAAGTTGACCAACAGAAGTTTTTCAAGGCAGAACAAAGAGAAGGGTGCAGCTTACATGAGAAGAAAAGTAACATCTACATTGTAGTTTTTGATCGGTATACTATTTAACTCTGAGTTGTTTTTTCGAGCTTATCGGTTGGGCGTCAAAATGTAACAAAGCTGACTACGGCTATAGTGTATTCAGAAAATAATGTTACTTTTCTCATTAACGCTGGGGGTGTTCCCAATAGTATTGCGATAAATGGTATTATTGGATTTGCATCTTAAATGTATGGGAAAAACCGGATTTTTAAGGGCGAAAGTCGTTCAAAACAATCCTTACGGCTTGTTTAAACGAATA